TGCTGCCCCTGCTGGCAGGGCGCTGTGGGACCGGGGCTGTGTCTGCCGGGTGGGACAGTGATGGGGACTCTGCCGCAGCTGGCAAGATGGGGCCTGTTGAGCCGTAGCCTCCCTCTGGTCCACGCCGCCAGGAGCCTCCACTGTGGTGAGCAGAGCCGGGTACAGTCCCGGGCACTGCCCCCCTCCCCTGCCATTGTCTTGCCCTCCCGCCCGGGAAAGCGTCGGGCCCTTCTGCTGAGTAAATGGTTCTTCAGCTGCCTCTTCTGTTTCAAGGGGCGACCAGCATGATCCACGTGAAAAAGCCGTCTGAGCCTAAGGAGGTTGATCGCTGGACAGAGAAACGAGCCTTATTTGGGGTTTATGACAATATAGGAATTTTAGGTAAGTGAGGAAGGATGGGTCTGAGGATATTATGGGAGAGAGGAAGTGTGTGTGTGTGTGTGCACGCAGAGATTAATCCTACCCTCAACATGGGAAAATTTAATGGGGTCAGAATGAATTGATGGGACCTGGGGCTAACCTTTCTGCTGTTCTGGGTTTGTTTTCCTGGTACTGTATCTGTTTCCCACTTTACCTTCAGGAGACTTTCAGGTTCACCCCAAGGACTTGATCATAGGGCCTAAATGGCTGCGAGGCTGGAAGGGAAATGAACTGCAGAGATGTATCCGGAAGAAGAAAATGGTAGGCGATCGAATGTTTGACCAGGATTTCAAGAACCTTAGCAAAAGGATCAGTTTCCTGTACAGACGCTTCAATCGCACTGGAAAGCACCGCTAAGAGTAGACTTGTGGGAACCAGCCATGTGCATCCTGGAAGGAATGGCATCCTGGGGCAACAGGTGTTTAAGCACCTGGAGCTGTGCACAGAATGGAGTCTTGTAAAATCACAATAAATTCAATTGCTCTTCCACAACCACCTCTGATCCCCTTCAACCAACACAAGTTCACATCCTGATTGATCTCTCACGATAAGGGAATGGGCTGAAACCAAGCATAAGATTTAATTGCCCTTGCAAAAATTGTTAATCTAGTATGTCTCTGAATATTGCTAAATTTCCATCCCCCTTCTACTCAGTTCTTTCCTTAGGTGCATCTTCTGGCAGCTCTGGAGAGATAAGAGGAGAAATGAGAGAATGGGGTGAAGTTATGTCTTTTATTGAACCGACTTCTGGAACTGATACAGCTACAGTATACACAATAAGAGACTGAGGCAGATTTGGGGTAGGAAAGGAAAAGAGAATTGTGGATGAGATCTTACTTGGGCTGGAGGATATACTAGTATTTCTGTAATGAAGCATCAGCACTTCATTGGTTTCTGTTTTAAGTCTCCCCAAGCGTAGTAAGGCCTCAATGTAGAGAGACAGAGCTGAATGAGAGATTCCATAGTGTCCAACAGGAGCAGTGTTGTACTGAGATGTTATTGCATCAATGGTTAGCCTCAGTAAGGGGCTAACGTTTACACCAGATGTTAGGAAAAACTTTCTAACTCTTGGACTATGTCTACATTGGCAGGTTCTTACTCAAGAATGGGCGTTCTTCCGCAGAGCATCCACACTGCCTGCCCACTCTTGCAAGAAGATTTGTGTGGGAAGAGAGGGCTTCTTGCACAAGAGCTACGCTCTTTTCTAACATGTGTAAGCTCTCTTGCGTGAGAGGTCAGTGTGGACGTGCAGCAGGGGTTTCTTGCAGAAGAAAGCCCTAAGGCTAAAATGGCCATCAGAGCTTTCTTGTGCAAAAGAGTGTCCGCACTGCCATGGATGCTCTTGCACAAAATTTCATGGCAGTGTGGATGTGTTATTGTGCAAGAGTTCTTCCTGTACCCTTGTGCAATATGTTCTTGTGCAAGAAGCCATCAGTTTAGACATAGCCTCAGGGTGGTTAAACACTGGAATACATTGCCTATGGTGGTTGTAGAATCTCCATTGTTGGAGATTTTTTTAGAGCAGGTTAGACAAACATTTCTCAGGAATGATTTTTGGTCCTGCCCTGAGTGCAGAGGACTGGATTTGATGATCTCTCAAGGTCCCTTCCAATTTTAATGTTCTACTAAAGGAACTGTGACAAACTGAGTTCCTTCCTTTATTCCTCTGGTGGTGATGGCAGTCATTGTGACTGGGGAATTTAAACTGGAGTAGCAAGTTTTAGCAGCTGACCTGGCAGAGATGAGTAGTTTCCATTCTGATCCAGTGGGTGGCAGAAGTTGGAAACATTTGCTGCTGGGATAATAAGTACCCCAGCATAGAACATCGCTGAGCCCCTTGCCTGAGGCCAGAATGCAGGCATTCTGGCCCCTAGTAGGGTCGCCAATAGTTCTCTAGTCAGATGACTGAGGATTGTCTCTTACGACCTGTCTATAACATTGCCCCTTTCCTGAACAAGTGTATGCTCCAGGAAGAGGCCCTGCAGGAGCTCATTCCACTTATTTTTCTTAATGCCTTGATTGAAGAGCTTGAAAGTACTGCTGCTAGGGAGGCTACAAATCTTTAGTGCTCCAGAGGCTACATGTACACTACATACCATAAGTGGCACAACTACATGGTTTCCTATGTAGCTGCTCTGTGCTGACAAGAGAGAGCTCTCCTGCTGACATAGTGCTGTCCACACTAGCACTTCAGTGAAACTTACATTGGTGAGAAAAAAATCAGTGAGGAGTCCTGTGGCAATTTAAACTAACAGATTTATTTTGGCATAAGCCTGCATAGGTAAAACCCATTTCATCAGATAAATTGAACTATCAGATTCTGCTATACAAAATATGGCTCTAGCAATGTATTGCCTGTTCTACTCACTTTTTGCTTCCCCATATCATTTGTCTTCCTTCTAGTTCACATCTCTTGCTTTCCCCTTCAGGTCCTATCTTGTTTTTCAAACTTTTTAGCCTCATTTTATTAATTCATGTCTTACCATTCTAATAAATGGTGTGTTTGTGGGTTAAGCTATGAACATGCTACATATGCTCTCAACCTGTGGTGGGATATAGAAAGAACCACTGAACCTTAGTCTGTTATTCTCATCTCGTTGACATGGGGTACATTGAATGTACCCTAGCTCAGATTTAGTCTTGAGATTCTTTGAAGGGCTGATAGTAAAAAACACTTGAGCTACAGCTACATTAATCACAGATGTTCTTAGGGCTGTTGCAAAGGCACTAGGATCTTAATCCAGTATGATAGTTGACTGTTAGGGACTGGGCGGGCAGCCAGGCTTCATATAAGAGACGAGTGTAAGTACTTCATTGCTACATCTAGACTGGCATGATTTTCCGCAAATGCTTTTAACGGAAAAAGCGTCTAGATTGGCACAGATGCTTTTCTGCAAAATGCCATTTTCGCCATCAGGGCTTTTTTGCGCAAAACGGTTTTTAGCTGTCTACACAGGCCCTCTTCTGCAAAAACATTCCGGAAAAGGGCTTTTGCCCAAACGGGAACGTCAAAGCATTTGCGCAAGAAGCACTGATTTCAGACAGTAGAATGTCAGTGCTTTTGCGCAAAATCAAGTGGCCAGTGTAGACAGCTGGCAAGTTTTTGCGCAAAAGTGGCCGCTTTTGCAGAAAAACTTGCCAGTATAGACGCAGTCCATGTGTGCCTTCTAAATCTGTAATCTGTGGAAGCATCATAGTTGACGTTGCCTCTTGATTCCCACTTTAGTGAGACTATAGCTCTATAAACACACTGAACAATTCTTGAATAAATTGAATTTTAGTTAAATTAGCTGTTAGAGAACCTTTTAAAGGAAATAGGTAAAATAAAGAACATGTTCTGCCCAAAACATTACTGCTTTCAGTTCTGTGATATAGCTCAAGATTTGTTTTTGTTTTTTTTCTGAATCTCTACATAACAGCTGTGGAGGGAACAGCAAGGTGGTATGGCAAGGAGAATATCTGGATCTGTAGAGCAGGAGAGACAAATGATTCAGCAATCATGGCTAGTGCAGGGGAGGTGACCTGTCTGATGCAGAACTTTGGCTACTGCCACCTGCAGCTGCGGCTCTCTGAGTCAGGCTGCAGATAGGATGAGTCAGTTCCCCGCACTGGGGTGGGGCGGCGAGCTCCAGGCTGTGATGTCACCATGGGGATTAGATTTTTCGGTCTGATGCGCTCCGCTCCGCTCCGCTGTGCCCATGAAGCCCTAGGGCCGCTTGATGGTGCCAGGTGTGCGGCGGCCCCCAGCCGGATTTTCTGTGTTTCCCTCCTCTCCCACGTCCACGCCCTTTGCCCGCCTCCGCCCATCCCGGGCAGGGGGCTTCATAATAAATCATTGCAGCTGGCGGGGGTGGTCTAAGCGCGAGGCCGGGAGGACGCAGCGATTGGTTTAGGGAAAGGGGTAACGAAACTTCTGATTGGGCTAGTACCATCCTTGGGGGCGGTACCAGGACGGAGGCTGAAGATAACAGCTGGCTGGAACCATCAAAGGGCGGCTAGCGGTGCCAGGATGAAGCTGATTGGTTGCGCGGGTTCTAGCTGAGGCCGTGGGCAGACCCACAGGCTGCCCGCGCAGGCCCTTCAGGAAGCACCAGACCAACGCTGCGAAGGGACAGTGCCAGAAAACGGGGGCGTGGCCGTGTGCTCTGATGACGTAGATATACCGGAGGCGGTGGGCGTGGTCACCCCAGACTAGTAGGAGTTGGGCGGGGCTGGATTTGAAGACAGCGCGAGCTGGGGGCGCGTTCGCAGCCATGGGAGTCTTGCGCGCGGAGCAGGTGCAGCTAGCGGGGTGAGCTGTCCGCCCCCCTCTGGGCAGCCTGCGTGCTGCTACCGGCCGCAGGAGCTGGGACCAGTGGGGGCTGCAGCCCTCGCAGCTGGGGGTGGCTTCTACCCTGTAGAAGGGTTGCAGTGGGGTCAGTGGCACCTAGCCTCTCCCCTCTTATGCAAATTGCTCCAGCGCCCCTGCGCGGCTCCCTGCAGTCCCAGGACTGGACCCCATCTCGATGGTGGGAGTCGCTGCTGGCACCGACTGACCCTTCCTGCACTTCTCTCTGCCCCTCCTGCGTGCCCCGCAGCGGCCTCTGCCCCTCTCCACCGGAGCGCTCCCTGCCGGCGGTGTGTCAGGCACCGCTACCGATGCGAGAGCGCTACCGGTAGCGTGTTCCGACAAGGTAGCAGCTGGACACCCGCCCGCCTAGCTGGTGTGGTGCCTCGCTCGCCGCAGCCTTCCCTCTGCTCCCCCCCTCCCCCGAGCTTAGGTGGGTGCCGAGCAGCGGGCAGCTATAGGCAGAGGCTCTGTCACACAGTCCCATGTCCTAGGGGGCTCGTGCTCTGGGCACCCGTGCGCGTCAGCGGTGCCTGCCCGCAGCGCACCAGGGGGCTCTGGCTCTCTGCCGCCGAAAGGAAGCGGCGTGCGCTGGGGAGTCTCCTGGAGCTTGGAATGGGCTTGCCTCGACCGGGAGTAGTAAACTCCTTTCTCTCCCTCCCCCCTCCAAAATCTGGATCTTAGATGTTCCTGCGCAAGTAGTAGGGTGGTGCTGGCTAGCCCCTTACATGTTGGGCGAGGGGAACTTATAAACCACCTGTTTTGTAGTAGCCTAGTCCCATGAATACTTCAAGTGGGGCTGTTCCTCTGCTCTGTTTCCCTGAATGGGAAATGCAGCTTTAATGCCTAATTGACAGAAACAAGGAGAAGTCCTGTAGCACCTTACAGACTAACAGATGTATTGGAACATAAGCTTAAGTGGGCAAAGACTCGTGTATAATATGCATCTTGCTGAAGTGGGTCTTTGCCCTCAAACTTATGCTCCAATAAATCTGTTAGTCTGTAAGGTGCCACAGGACTCCTCATCACTTTTGCAGATTCAGACTAACAGGGCTACCCCTTTGATAATTGACCAAAGTCATTTAAAGGCAATGCTGGGTGGCAGCATCTTTTGTTTTAGCAGAGTCACTCTCCACAGTTTGCCTGTGACTTTAATCCTGCATGTACGTGTTCAGGTTAACTGATGCATCTGTTAGACTCAATTTCCTGCCCTAGCTTCAGTTTCTTTCAAGTTGGCCTTTATTTGTTGTACGGCAGTAGGTACCTGTCTGCCATAGAATGCTAGCAGTGGAGGGCAGGAAGGGATCTCAAGGTCAAGTTTAGCCCCCTACACGGGAGCTGTGACAAACAAACAATAACACCACCTTAAAAAAAAAAAAAAAAAAAAACAACCTCCTCCAGTGCTGGGGGTCTCCACATCCTCCACTGAAAGCCTATTCTGGAGTTTAACTACACTTATAATTAGAAAAAAAATTCTTGATAACTAATCTAAATCTCCCTTGCATCAGAGGAAGCCCATTACTACTTTTCTGATCTTCAGTGAACCTTGAGAACAATTGATAAGTCTTCCAGTATGTTGAGGACAGTAATCCAGATCCCCTTCATTCTTCTATCAAAATTAAACTTTTTTCTTATTTTTTTGCTTTCCACATAAGTTCAGTCTTCTAAATGTCACCTTTTGTGTTGTCCTTTTGGATTCTTTAGTTTGTCCACATCTTGCATCCAGAATTGGACCCAGGATTCCAGCTAAGTGCTGAGCAGAGAGGGACAGTTATCGCCTATGTCTTACATATAATGCTCTTGTTAATACAGCACAGAATATTTTGCAGCTCGACATGTTTACTTTTCAATTTGTAATTAAAACTCCTAGAATCTTTTCAGAAGTCCTACTTCTAGCCAGTTATTCCCCACCTCATACCTGTGCATTTGGAGTTGTGTACGAAGTGTAATCTACTGTATCCATTTCTGGCTTTCTAATTTAAGGTAATTCTCAATTCTAAACCTGTCCTTAAACCGATCATCAAAATTGCTCACGTCACAACCTCTCCCAGCTCCTAAGCACAACTTTAGTGCCATTACCTAAATTAATGAAAATATTGAATAGTGCTGGACCCACAATTGCCGCCACCACAACCACCCTTCCCCTCATGGGACCTCACTACATACCCTCTCCCGGTTTGAGATCCTGTATCAGTTCTTGAACTTTCTCTGGGCTTTTCAGTTTAGGACTTGGCTCCTGAATTCTGCTTTTCTCTTAAATCTGAGGTTCATAAATGGATCTGTATTATTCTGTGTTCTCTGTTGGATATGTCTCTTTGTTTCATCAGGTGTGATCCAGCTCAACAACCTACTTCTCAGGCACCAGAACAGGGGGCTCTTGATGGCGGTCCCTCTGGGCCTCTCCCTAATGTGACTAGTAATCTTTGGCTGCAGCAGTCCCAGGCCCAGATGGAAGAGGTAAGTCAGTGTCTGCTGGGCTTAGTCTCTTTTTCCTCCCTAGGTTATTTGGGAGCAGGTCACACTCACAGGTATGCCTAAGTGCCTGCTGATTTTTAACATAAAAGGAGATCCTGAGTACTCCGGTGGTGGTGGTTAGTTGGGGATTCCCTATCCACCCCCTTGCTGCAGTTCCTTGCTCGTAAAGAATATACAGTGGTGGTGCCTCCACCTGGCTGGCCCTGTACACACTTAATGGAGTGTCTTGGGAGCCTCCAGGAATAAAAATATTCCAGCAATAGTCTGGATCTAACTCCAGGACAACAACTATAAATATATACATCTAATTGATTACATTAGAATTCACACCTTTACTTTACAATGTAAAGACATGGGGTTTAACAGATTAAATGTGAATAAAATCAATTTTAAAAGCACACAGAAATCAAAGGAACTTAGCTATCTAGCATTTGTACTGTCACCATTTATCCCACCCCAGAGTGTGCACTCTTCTGGAGTCAGAGTCCCAGATGCTTGGGTAGGCATGCTTGAAGGTTTGCAGCTGGAGTGGAGGCAGCACTGAGCAGGTTTTGTGTGTGTTGGTCCAAGCTGAGCAGCCAGCTGCAAACTCCCTCTGCTACTGGAGCAGGCTCCACCAAATGTCAGCAGCTCTGGTTCACTGGGCTGGACACTCTGCCTCTCTTTGGACCCAGAGTCTATATCTCTGAGGTCTGTCCCAGGCAGCATTTTCCTAAAGAACCTGTTTACTTACAGCCTCCTCCTGTGTGCCAGTTTCTGTAGTCCTTCTCTGCCACAGGCACAGCCAGACTCTCTCCCCTCTAGAACAATCAGCAGCCTCTGAAGCAGCCTGCTAAGTCCAAGCCCTGGAGGCTCTCAGTCCCAGGCTTTAGCTGCAACTGGATAAGGCTCCTCCACAGCAGCCTGGCTCCTCTGTCTCAAAATGGAGAGCCCACTCTAGAACATGCCCGGACAAGCCCTACTTCCCCCTCTTTCCTCAAAGGCTCATGGGAGTTGTAGTCTGCAGCACACAGGATTCTCCCAGAAGGTCAGAGGCCCTTTAAGTAAGAGGGCTACGCTTGTATAACATCTTTTTTTTCTTTTGCAGGTGGTGAGCATAATGCGTGTGAATGTGGACAAAGTGCTGGATCGAGACATCAGACTGACAGAGATGGATAGCAAGGCAGATGCACTAGAGACTGATGCCTCAGTGTTTAAAACTAGTGCAGGATGGCTAAAGAGGAAGTACTGGTGGAAAAACTGTAAGGTGAGCCTCATTACCCTCCAGTGAGGCCAGATCTGAAGTTGTTCATGTCTCCCTGGGCTGCATCTGTAGGCCACACATGGGGAGGTGGTACATGCATGATCACATGCCAGTCACATGATGGAGTGCTTTCCCCCTCTCTCCCTCCCTCCCCCCACCGCTGTGTAAGAGCTGAGCCTGCAAGTCAAGTATGGTGAAACAGCTGGGAGGTTCTCTGAGGCACTGCTGCTTTGGGGATGGGGGTGTCCAGTTTCTTCCAAGGTTGTGCCTTTCCCTCCCATGTCAGCAGGTGTGGATAGTCTGTGGCTGCATCCAAGTGAAGCTGGGGTTTATAAGACCGTTGTACTTCGTACAGTTAGGGCTGTGGCTTCAGCATGAAGCTGCCTCAAGCCCTCTTTTGGAAGGTAAGGTGCACAGGAAAGAGAGTTACCTGAATCTTTGCATACCCTCCCTGAGGGGTGGAAGAGTGCATCCTTCCACTGGATCCCCGCTCCTTCCTTACTGCTGAGCATTAGTGACCTTGGGGATTGATGGGGGGACAAGGGGAGGGCTAGAGATGGGCAGCACCACACCTCAGATTTGATGAAAATTTGCTGTGCTGCTAATTAGGACTTGCTGATGCCCCCGCTTCAGGGGATTCCTGATTCAAGCTGAACATTCATCTCTTGGCTGTGGAAGCAGGTTCATGACTCTGGGGGCTGGAAAAAGGTAATGCTACTTTCCGTACTGAATGGCCTGCTGCAAAGACTGGAATTCTGAGCTGTTTGGTCTCTTAGAGTGCAGATGTGTTATAAGGTGGGGTCTCCCAAGGCATCTCAACTCCTTCCGAGAGTATTAACCCTTCACAATCTTTCTCCGCAGATGATGATCATGCTTGGAGTGATCTGTGCCATTGTGATGGCCATTGTACGTAAGTACCATATGGAATCTCAATCTTAGAGGTCCAAGGGAGCCCCAGACTCTTGGTAAATGATGCCCCTTCCCTTTTGGTTAAGTGCCTTAAGGTCTGGGAGTAGTCTGCTTGTTCAAATGGTAGCATTTCTCTGGTGGTGAAGGGGGAAACTCCATCCTTCACTAGGCATTTGGCAGGTAGTCTCTGGGAAACTCCACAGGGAAATGGTATATCCCAAATAGCATCTAAAGGACCCATAAGAGAGCTCTTTGTACTTGAGGGGCGTGAAGAAATGGATCTTCACTCTACTATGACAGAGGAGGCCTTCTCAAAGTATGACAGAGACGGGAACAGAAGGGTTGGGCAGTCCTAGGGGTTTGGAGGTCTCAGTTGCTTACTGCAGGGAACTTGGTGTAACTTGCCCTCTTGTTCTCTCCTTTTTCTTTTCCTTCTGCTGCCTTCTGTCTCCAGTTTACTTTTATACTTGAACATTGTCCCTCAGTCTGCAGTCCACCTTCCCTTCTTCCTGTCTCCTTCCTAGCCCATGCTTCCCCTCCACATGGCTGCTTCACCGTCTGTTCTTTCTCTTGGTTGTGTTTGTCTTCTGTGTGTGATTCTGAAATAACTTTCTTGGACTTAGGTCATGAAGGGGTGAAACCTGCAGCCCCAAAGAGGGCCAGCTTAATTGTGAGGGAAAGGGAAAACATTACTCTTTCTTCTGTTTTTGTGGGTGGTTATTTAGATCCACAGTTTGAGTGAGGTGTAGATTAGATGTCAATTTTATCACAGCAGTTACTTGATACCTCCTGGGGAAAGCACTCCAGCACTGTGAGCTTCTCCGAGCAGTTCCTTGGCTGTGATGAGCCAGAGAGGAAGGAGGGCTCCCATGTGAAATTCATTAGAGTAGTGCTTCACGCCAGAAGGCATTCTGGCTTCTGTTCTCACAGGCTGTGTCTAGATTGGCCAGTTTTTCTGGAAAATCAGCCGCTTTTCTGGAAAAACTTGCCAGCTGTCTACACTTGTCAGTGCTTTTGCGGAAATTCTTCCTACTGTGTAAAATGAGTGCTTTTTGCGGAAATACTATGCTGCTCCTGTTCAGGCAAAAGTCCCTTTTTTGCAAAACTTTTGCGCAAAAGGGCCAGTGTAAACAGTTGAGATTTGTTTTACACAAAAAATCCCCGATCGCAAAAATGGAGATCGGGGCTTTTTTGCGCAAAAGCGCGTCTAGATTGGCCACGGACGCTTTTCCGCAAAAAGTGCTTTGGGCAATCTAGATGCTCTTCTCTGAAAATGCTTTTAACGGAAAACTTTTTCCATTAAAAGCATTTCCGGAAAATCATGCCATTCTATACGTAGCCACAGAGTTTCCCATTACCTGCTAAAGCTTAAACTAGTTTATGGTGGTCACTTGACCTTGAGCCTCCCTACAGACAGTGGTGGGCTGTCCCTTGCTCATGACGTGACAGCTCTCAGCTTCATAGGAATGCAACTGGAAAGGTTGGTGATCCTTTTTCCTACACCACAAGCATGGCAGCAGTGCTTGTATCAGGGTTTGTATTCTTGTCACTGGTCCAGACTTGGCAGGCTGTCACCTTGGTTAGCTACTGGCATGCACCTTAACCTAAGGAAGTCCGGGGGTGTGGAGGGAACAGAACTGGTAGAGGGAGAAAGTAGGAATTCTGGATTCCCCCCCCCCCTCAATTCACCAAGCTATGTGCCTCTTGCTCTGTTGTGTGGAGTGACCAAGGGGTTGGGGAGGATTCTTTGCCTAAATAGCTGCGCACCTACATCCTGTGTGTATGTTTTGACCAAGTTCCCATCTTCTGCTCTGTTCTTTCTCCAAAACCCTTGTTCTGTGCAGGAGTTACAAAACAAATGGTAGGAAAGTAGAGCTCTGTGCTGAGAAGGGGGCTTTGAGAAAATGTCTCAAACTCTAGATTCATCAACTTGTGACTCTCTGCAAATCTACTTAGAAAGGCTCATGAACTTGTAAACTATATGCTAAACTCCATCTTGGACTCTTGAATTTAAGCTCTCCAGGGCCTCTGACATCTAGTGTAGACATACCCTCAGAGATAGGAATAGGGGGTGACAAGAAAGTGGGAAGATGGGGCTGAGTGATAGAAGGACTGAGGAAGAACAAGGGATAGGGGCACCTGGCAGACCCACATTTTCCCTTTCCAGGTGTGTGCTCAGATGTGGGGGATATTCTGGTTGAGAACATCTGTCGGTTTGACAGTGATATTTTCATGACTCTGAAGTCCAAAGACTGGTGCACTTCCTTGCGAGCACACTGGGCAGACACAATCATTGGTGAGCATCATGGTGGCTATAGCACCACAAGTACTTAAGGGAGAGGCTCAGGGGAGCCACAGAGGCATAGGGGGGTCAACAGGTGCTGTCTGGTGAGTGCTATGAGTCCCTGGTCAGATGGTACAGGAAGTGCCGCTGGGGAGGAGGGAGGGTGTTGGCGATGCTGGCAGGCTCCCTAGCTGGCTTTTCAGAAGCAGTGACATGTCCCTCCCTGAGCTCAGCTCTGTGCTCTGCCAGCTCTGCAGCTCCTATTGGCCAGGAACTGGGGCCAGTGGGAGTAATGGGGGGTGATGCCTTCACGTGGAGCCCCCACCCCAAGGAGTGGCCCGTGTAGACTGCTCTGCCAGCCTGATGCTGCTCAGCTTGCACGCTGGCTCCCTTCTGGTTGGGGGCAACCGCGTGGCTCAGTCGCCCTGTATCCGCACCAAGGCAGCTGTGTGGGCCCCCGGTGCCCGGCTGCTCCGGTGCATTTGTCGGGGACTCGAACCCAGACGGCTTCAGTTCGTTGTCTGACCGCAAAGAGACAGGCAACACCAGCAAGGTCTAATCACAAAGCTTTTTATTGAAGAGTGCACACGACAATAGAGAGCAGCCCGTCTCTACCAGGAACCAGCTTCCGATTTCTATAACAAGTGGGGTTATATAAACAGTTCCGTCGCGTTATAGACTATTCACTTAAGCAACCCACCCCTCTTTGTTAGTTAGAAACTTCTAGCATGGGTGCATACCTTGCCAACTATACAAGGTGGCCTTGATACATTAGCAACTTTCTTATTAAGACAGAAAGCAAGTACCAGGCAATGAGGAGACAGGGAGTTTTCTTATCAGTTTCTTAAGCAAGCTGTTCAGCTCAGCAAGTACAAAAATGCAGCTGTTCGCTTATCTTATGCCCTTGCTCAACTCATGTTTCAAATTTTGTTCAGGGACTACCCAGAACCCTTTGCTGGACTCTTCTCAGTCTGTCTTAGCATAACTACCCTAGGCCCAATTTTCTATGGCCTAACACATTGCTCTAGGACTGGGTGCTGGGGGCAGGAACGGAACAGCCTCCGATGCCCAGCGCCTGCACAGGCACAGACCAGCTAATGTGGGGTTCACGGGGCTCCCCCACACCGAGACCACCCCTTAGCATGCTGGGGCAGAGGACTCTGGCTTCAGGATCCAGCGGCAGCTGGAGGGCAGGAGATGTGGGGTGGAGCGGGGCTAGGCACAGCGCTGCGTTGCAGGCTCTTGTCTCTTAGGAGAGTCGCCCCCAGGGCCAGGCTGCAGAAGCTGCCACTTTATTCTTATTTACTCTTTCAAAGAGTTGGTCTCGTGTCTGTGTCTGCGGAGCTGGGGAAAGGCGCATCACGGTACCCACCCGCCAGCAGAGACCCCCCCACCCCCGAGCGTCTGCGGGCCGGCCGGGCTGCTCTAGAGACAGAACTGCAGACGCTGGGGGGATGCTCTGTGGGACAGGGCCCTGAGAGCGCTGCCTACGCGCTCTGGCATCTCTCTGCCCGGGTCCCACCCACTCCCAGGATCTCTGGCTTCCCTGTGAAGCGTGGGGCAGCGGTGCCCCCTAGTGGCGAAAGTTAGTTTTTTGTATTTTAATTTTTTTATTTGTTTTTGCCTAATAATTGTCGGGGTCCTTTTTATTTATTTATTTATTGCTCAACAACTTTTGTTTCCCCCTTTTTTTTGGGAGGTGGGGGTGTTTGGTATTTTTGGTTAAACCATATGGCAACCCTAATGAAAACTCTGACCTCAACTGTGAGCTCCAAGGTGACCTCTGGCCCATAGACACCATCTTACCCAATAGATGAGGGTGCTTGATCCCCACCAACCACTCCCCACTCCAGGCCCCACTCCTAGTTTACCCCTTCTCCCAAATCTCCACCTGTCCTTTTAGTGACTCTACTCCATCCTCACTCTGCCCCCATTCCACTACTTCCCCCAGGCACACAGCATTCTTGCTCCTCCCCCTCCTTCCCAGAGCTTCCTGAACACCATGAATCAGCTGTTGGCAGCACTCTGGGAGGGCGAGGGAGGAGTTGGTAAGTGGGGCTATCAGCTGGCCAGTGGCATGGAGCAGAGAGAGGCAAAAGGGGCAGGGTGGCTGCTGCTAAGTGGCCACCACTTTTTCCCTGTGGGTGCTCCAACCCCAGAGCACCCCTGAAGTCAGTGCCTATGCCCTGGCCATTTGCTTTATACAATCCAACTAAAAGTCTAGAATGCGGGATTAATTCGCTACCAATCTCTCTTCTTGGAGCTGCTCCAGGTTGTATAAATATTCATGGAGTCAGAAACAAAGACTGACTTTATAGCCTGATGGGTAGGATCCTGAGAGCCAAGTCCCTGCACAGGCTGATTCAGTTCAGGGGCTTTTGCTGGGGTTCTCTCACAACTGAGAAGACGGCTCAGCTACTGGTTATTTTGAGTTCTTTTATTCTGAGAGAAAACACTGACGAGTCAATTTCAAAAAGCCTCATTTTCCTTCGGCAATGGAATAAAAACAAACGTCATAACCTTGCAGGTGTTTGCAAAACAGAATTGTTGTTTTCCAGACAACACCAATTACTGCCCACAATGCACTTTGTGGGTTATGGAGAAAAACATATTCTTTGGCAGCTGCTTCTAATGCCCGACTGCCTGGCATTGCATAGCTTGTCGTGACAGAATGGGCAGAAAGTTATGCAAGGGTACCACGCAGCCTGACAGTTCGGATCTCAGGTGTGGGGAAGGACAGGGCTAACCATATTCCAGGAGTGGAGGAGAGGGCTTGGGATAGCCCCCCACAGAAAGCTATTTTCCTTTTGGGAAATATGGTCACTCTGGCCTAGTCATTGTTGGAAAGCCATTTCAGAGAAAGTGGGTGTGACTGATTTAGGTAGGGTTGCCAGATGGTTTCAGAAAAGATACCCAACAAAAACATGCCAGGAAAAAGTTTGTTGAGCAAAAAAAAAAAAAATTAAAAACAGGCAGCCAGCGGCCACCTGCCATCTTTCCTCCCTGCACTGGGCCAGACAGCTCCCTGGTAAGCACTAGGGTTTCCAGGCTGCCTCCGTATTGAGCTGGACAGCCCCAGATTTTTGCCTCGTGGCTGGGAAAGAATCAGAAAGTACCGGACATTTTAGGTGTCCAGTATTTTCAGATTTTTTTTACCGGACAGGAGCCAAAAATAATGGACTGTCTGGATCAATACCGGACACCTGGCAACCCCAGATTTAAGAGAAGTGGAGTTAGTAGCTATGCTCCTCTGCATAGTGCTGGCTGGTGCCTCAGCTCCTGAGGCCTCTTTAGGGCCAAGTCTCCTTTCTCCCTGCCTTCATGCAGGGCCGGAGAGAAGCAGCATGTCCTAGAAGCTTGTTTTGAGTCCAGGTGCAAACGCAGCACCTCAGATAGCACAAGAGAGTTCACTGGGAGCTGTTCTCCTGAGTTCTGCCTCCAAGCCTCTTGTTCTGTTACAGGGCAAGCAGAGGAGCAGAGCTGGCCATGGGCAGGATTCTTAGGATCTCAAGTCACATTGTAGATCTAATTTTTACCTTGAATATTTTTTAAACATTTCCTTTCCACAGAGGTAGTGGGCTCTGGAACAGTAGCTGAGACCAAACCCAAGAAGGTGATGATAGTTTGGGAAGCACAAGCATCGACATATCAGAAGCCATATTAACCGCACATGGCGCAGGAAAGTTAGGAGAACCATTAAATTTTGATGTAACAATTTTATTAAGAGGGCTTTACCTTATGAATCGTTGTTTATACGACCTCAAAATTTGGATTATTTAGGTGTTATCCTAGCTCCCTCTGAGGTACAGCAATCCAAGTCAGATTCTGGGTTTCAGAGCTCTTAGAAAAATTGGCTGTGAATGTTGAGACTGGCTTAACTATTTAAGTATACTGGTGCTGTTCCATCCCATTATAATCAATAATTAGTCAATGTGTTTCTATCCTATTTGAATGGAAAAAAGAGTGCATGCAGTTGAGGCTTCTGTACACAAGAGGGATCCTAGAATAGGAATCCAAGAAAGGAAAAGTGAGACAGCAAAGATTGTGTGTTCTGCTTAAGTAATTCACAGAATATCCAAAGAATCCATTTTAATCTCACTGACAGTTCCTTTCCTTCAGTCACAAAGCAATATCAGGACATGCCTTTTTATTATTTGGAGTAAGAACTCTTTAGTTCTAGTCTTGGACCTGAGGGAAAATAGAGGCTAGTAGGTTCTAGAAACCAAAAAGTTTCTGTTCTGATGAACTACCATTTTCTGGGCAAAAAACATCATTTCCCTCAAATTCCTGATCAGCTCTAACATAGAGGCCTCCCCCTCCCCCCCAGTTAAACTTTCATCTGCATGATGTCCCCTCTGCAGCAGCTCTTTTTTACTTACTTGTTTGGTAATTGTTGGGTATTCCACTTCAATAAAACCACAGCACGCATTAAGGCAGTTCTGTGGGCCATAACCCGTGTGCCTAGAGTTTCAGTGTTCATTTGCTATCCCTAGAGCAGGTTGAGTAGATTTTTAATGCCACAGATGGTTGGCAGTTTTCAATTAAATGATTTTTTTGGTCAGAAAATGCCAGTTCATTGAAACTTTTTGTGTGAACAGATCAGTTTTGACTGAACTACAAGGAGTGGCTGAGGGATTTGGTTTTATTTAGTCTGCAGATGAGTAAGGGGAAATTTGATAGCAGCCTTCAACTACCTGAAGGGAGGTTCCAGAGAGGATGGAGGAAGGCTTTTCTCAGTAGTGACAGCAGAAGGAGGAAGCAATGGTCTCAAATTGCAATGGTCTCAAGTGGAGGAGGTCTAGCTTGGATATTAGGAAAAACTATTTCCCTAGGAAGGTGGTAAAGCACTGGAATGGGTTACCTAGGGAAGTGGTGGAATCTCCATCGCTAGAGGTTTTTAAGTCCTGGTTTGACAAAGCCCTGGCTGGGATGATTTAGTTGGGTTGGTCCTGCTTTAGGCAAGGGGTTGGACTTGATGACCTGAGGCCTCTTCCAACCCTGTGATCCTATGATTCTAACCATAACTATGAGAAAGAGCATCAGGCATTCGAACGCCCACACAAAATTCAACAGACAATGCAGGACGTGCCTTTTGATGGCTCAGGGCTTTTCTTGATGGAAAAAGACTCTAAGTTTCACAAGCTTAAAGACTCATGGGCAACTCATGGAGTTTCACTCACCAGCCACAGCCTACCCCTCACTTCTGTCCTGCTCCCCACAGATAGGACTATAGAAGGAAGCGAGGCAGGTATAATAGACTGAGGCTATGTCTAGACTGCAAAGTTTTCCCAGGATTCCAGAGGTATCCAGAAAAGCAGTGCTGTCTCCAAGGAACATGTCCACTTTTTCTGAACAATTTCCGAAAAAGCCGACGCGTTCTTTTGCCATCCTTGTAATCTTCATTCTATGAGGAAGAAGGGATGGCTCAAAAGAGGAATTTTATCTGAAATTTGGCACCATGTAGATGGGCCAAATTTTGGAAAAGCCTCTTTCGAAAGAAAAGTGGAAAAAGATACACAAATTACGAGTTTGAAATTTGTGTATCTTTTTCCGACTTTTCTTTATAGTGTAGATGTAGCCTGTGATGTTCCCAGTCCTCCTCCAGGGCTATGGCTCAGCAAGGCAGCTTCAGCCCTCAGGCCAACTTTTGAGCGTGTGCCTGAGGATGACACAACAGTACAAATCCCAGATGCTTCCTCTTCCTCTGTGAATTGCCTATCCCATTTTTGCCATGCCTGAGCACAAAGCGCCTCAGACTAATGGATCTTGATACTCCCTGGCAAATCTGCACCAAAAAAATTAAAAATTCTATGCACAATATTTTCAAATTCTTCACATTTTTATTTGTCAAAATAATACAATATAATCATACTAGTTTCAATTATGTTGAGTCATTTATTTCAAAATACTTGTTAGCAAGGAAGTCTGTAACAATATAGGCAACAAAAAAGATTCAGGATTTTTTTTTTTATAAATAGATTCCTCACTAGGCATATTAATGCAGAATTCTGAGTAGTAATTCATTTCAACTACAGAACTGTATTTCCTGCATCTCTCAGAACCAGAGCTAATGCTTGGGAAAGTCAGGGATAGCAGAGGATCTGAGCGGGAGGGAAGGAAGGAATTGCTGGGAAGGAGCCAAGGTCTGAGCTGGAAGGATTGTGAAGTATGGGTGGGAAAAGTATAAAACCATTTTTTTGGGGGGTGAGGAGAACTATTAGCTTCTCCATTGCAGACTCTGGTTGACCCCTAGCCCAGTCAAGGATCAATCTGGCACAGCTGCCACTATCCCCATGCGTCTCTGCCCTTGTTGTGTCCTTATGCCCCCGTGGCCATGTGTTCCACAAATGCCATTTTGACATCCACTTCCTCCATCCCCATGTGTCCTTGCACTCCCTAGCCATGTGTCCATTCACGTGCACTCAGCCACCCCATCCCCGTGTGACCCTGCACTCCCTCCCTTTGTCCCAATGTATCTGTGCCCCCCCCATCATGCCCTTTCCTCCTGTAGCTCTGCTCCCCCTCTGCCCATGTGGCCCTGAACCTCCTTCCCCATCATCATATGGCTCTGCACTTCCACTCCCATTTAGCCCTTGCCCCAGTCTGTTCTCCACAAGCCCTTATGAGCCCCTCTCTGCCTCCCCTCCCCTCCCAACAGCAGCCCACACTGTTTATCTCCTCATAACCCCTGTCTCCTGCCCAGGCCTGAGAGGCAAGGCACAGGCTTGAGCTCTTTTTCTCTTTCCTAGCTGACTTGGAGAGGCTGCCTGCTGTTCTTGCACCACATCACCCTCTGATGAGCAAAAGGCAGAACTGTAGCAACTTTTCAGCAGAAACTTTTTGCTGCACCAAAAATTAAAAATATGCATTGCTCGTGTACACGCGCAGCAGCACATTTTCTAAGGAGTATCCTGAGCACAGTAGAATTGAGGTAGTCTCTCTGATTCTGTTCGCTCCTGCCTTCCCAGCCACTTTTCCTATTCGTCTTCAGAGACCCTTCTCACAAGCAGTGTTTCATACAGGAAGTGCAAACACTCCAGAATACATGGGAAAGGGGTTCTTTTCCTGGTTTTTCCTAACCCTGAAGCCCAAGGATGGGCTCAGACCTATTTTAGACCTGCAATATCCCAACACATTCTCAAAGAAGTTGAAGTTCTGTTTGGTTTTCCTGGCTGCCAGTATCCCCTACCTGGATTTGAAATACTGACATGTCACCCTCAGCTTGAAGGACACATACTTTCACGTGTCCATAAGCCTGTCCACAGGTGGTTCCTCCACTTAATGGTCTATAACACCCATTATCAGTTTACGGTTCCCCCCTTCAGCCCCTTGGCAGTCCCTCAGGTGTTCATGAAGTACATGTAAGTCGTAGCCACCTTCCTTTGGAAATGGCGGGTTCAAGTATTCCCATACCTAGGTGACTGGCTAATCAAGGGTCAGTCCAGGGCCCAAGTAAAGGATCATGGGAGCCTAATTCAGGTGATGTTTAACAGGCACAGCCTGATACTGTACATGGCAAACCAGCTCTACCCCTTGCTTAAAGGGCAGAATTTGTCAGAGCTCTCCTAGACTCTGGTCAGGACAGGGTGTTCCTTCCTTTCTCACCAGGGGTGCCACCATAAAGGAGCTCAGGCAATTCCCCACTATTATGGCGCAAAATTGCCTGAAGCTGCTCGGCTCTATGACTGTATGTAGTACAGCAGGCCAGGCTATGGCTATGAGCACTTCCAGTTTGACTAGACTCAGTATACAGGCCAAACTGAGACCACCCTGACAAACTGGTTATACTCACTCCTCCAGTTATAAGGTTCTACTGAAAGTCCAAGGAAAGGGAGCATCAATGATCTTGATAGCAGTGGCACAGCCATGTCAACACTGGTTCACTACACTTCTAGGCCTGTTGGTGGACACATCGATAACACTGCCTGGACTTCATCACGCAGGACCTCGACCATCTCCAGCTTCCTAGTCAAGTCTCTCCATCTCACGGCATGGAAACTCCATGGCTAAACCCTATGGAGTTCACATACTCAGACTTTATTAGGGAGATTTCCCTTAGCAGCAGAAAACCATCCACTAGAGCCACTTACCTGGTCACTGCAAAAGGAGACCCACCATTACAGTCATTGAGTCCCTCCATTCTGTACTATTTACTGCACTTCAACTAGCAAAGCCTGGCAGTTTGTTCCATAACAGTGCAACTGGCTGCTCTCACAGCTTTCCATCCTGGTTCTGCCAGCTGGTCAGTTTTTGCTAACCCCGGGGTTGGCTGCTTCCTCAAGTGGCTAGATAGATTGTACCCAAGTAAGACAGCCAGTCCCCCCATGGGATCTCAGTCTGGTGCTCTCGAAGTTTGTGGGCCTTCCTTTTGAACCCTAGCAGCATGCAGTCTCCTCTGTCTTTCCTGGAAAGTGCCATTCCTGGTGGCTATAACCTCAACAAGGAGGGAGTCTGATCTTAAGGCCTTGACATCCAAGCCCCCTTATACCGATTTTTGTAAGGACAAGGTACAGTTGCGGCCACACCTGCTTTCCTCCCAAAGAGAGTTTTTCAATTCTACATGAAATGTCTCCCAGTGTTCTTCCCTGAGCTGCATGCTAGTAACCAGAAATGAATGCTCCCCTCCCTGGATGCCAGACGAGCATTAGCTTTTTACTCTGAGGGGACAAAGCTGTTTCGAAAATAACACAGTTCTTCATTGCAGTTACTGGGTGGATGCAGGGACTTCCGGAGTCACCTCGAGGGGTCTCTTCGTGGATCATGGCTGTGACCTAGCACAGTGTTTCTCAACCTTTTTTTATGCAATACCCCTTTTTCAAAAAAAAAAATAAAAAATTGTAAGTACCCCCAGTACCTACAGTTTTCAGACACACAATTTTTTTCTACTACTGCAACACATTTGTTTAAACAACTTCATTGTAGCTGGGTGGGCGATGACATTTTTGGGTGTAAAAAGTACAAAAATAATAAAGCGCTGAAAAACTTAAAACAAAAATTCAGTTTTCTCCAAATTTCAGTTGTGTTGATCTCCCCCCCAGATTTCTCTCAAGTACCCCTAAGAGTACTTGTACCACTGGTTGAGACACCCACCCCAGCACTAACAGCATACTCCAGAAGAGCGCAGTCTTCCTCAGCAGCGCTCCTAGCACAGGTCTCCATTCAAGACATCTGCAGGGGCAGCGAGGTGGGTCCGTGAGCCCTACCTCCATGTGGTGCTACATGTTTACTCAAGAGGCTAGAGACAAAGCTGCGTTTGACAGAGCAGTGCCCCAGCCTGTGGCTCAGTGAACTCTGACCCCTCCTCCTAGGAACTGCTTGGGAATCACCTACTTGGCATCAAACCGAGCAAACACGCAAAGAAGAAAAACGGTTACCTGCTTCTTATAACTTGTTCGTGTCCATTCCAGCAGTCACCCACCTACCCCTCAGCTGGAATGCTCCACCAAGAAGGAAGTGAGCAGGCCATAGGTTGGCATGGACACACCACCATGAAGGTGCAACTCAAGAGGGCTCCACAGATGACCCGATGGGTACCGCTAGGGGAAAACCTTCTGACAGCTGTGCAGGCCGCACACACACCGGTACTTGGAATAGACCTGAACAGAGCTCGACAATCGCGGAGAAAGCCACTTGCCAGCCCCACACCACGCATGCGCGAGACTCGCACTGCGCATGCGCGGACCGCCGATCAACGGGGTGACCGGCTGAAATCTACTCACTATGGGCGAGTAGATAAGTGCATTTGTCGAGCCCTGGACATGAGTAACACATTTAGAAGAACAGTTGTGAGAGGCAAGCAACCATGTTTTCCTCAGGGCCAGGATGGAGAACAAGCCACTCCAAAACAGTGAATAGCCCAGAGTGGAGCCAGTTTCTCTCTAGCCCCAGGAATATGTAATTATTTACACCAGCTAGAACAGCTCCTCCTGCAGGATTGTGAGCAAGGGACACTGTGACCTGAGGGGTTAGGGCTGTGCTCTGAATCAGGCCGAGCAGGGAGTAGAAGCAGGGTCTCACCTTCCAAGTAAGTGCTCTTACTGTCTGGCTATTGGCAGTTCTGGGGCAGTTTGCTTCCTCTCATGTCTTAGGGCAGCGTTTCCCAAACTATGGTCCATGGCCCGGTACCGGACCGCGGAAAAAAAATGCCGGGCCTCAGTGTGCCTAGTGGCTGCTGGCCCTAAGGCCGATTCGACCCATTTGGTCGAATCAGGCCCCGCGCCCCTGCACCCGGAAGTGCCGGCGAGTGACGAGCCGGGCCCTGCTCCAGTGCTGTGTGGAGCTGGGTCTCTCCCCGGCTCTGCCTGGAGCGGGCCCCGCCCCCGCGCGTCCTCCCGCTCCGCCCCCTCGGCCCCGGACATCTCTGCCGCGCGCAGCTCCTCCTTGCCGCCTGCCACCCGTGCGTGGCGTTGCACGTGGGCGGGGAGGACACCCGGGCGTAATGGCCAAATTGTGTATGAGGGCACAGAGGGGCAGGAGGGGAATGGGGCAGAGACTGGTGAGGGGGTGGGTATTAGGGAAAAAGAGGGGAAAAGGAGGCACCAGGAGGGTGCAGGGCTAAGGAAAGGTGCAGGTGCCAGGGGATTCTGGGGTGAGGAGGAGGGGAGAGCTGGCCACCGGAAGCAGAACTGGACAGGGGAATCAGGGCAGGCTGGGGAGATTGGGGGGCTGGTGGAAGCAGGGCTACCAGGGGGTGCGAGGTTGCGGGCAGGGAGCTGGCCGGGGAAGATGTGGGCGGGGTGGGAGAAGTGGCCGCTGGAAGAGGGGGAGAAGAAGCGGCTGCCGAAAGGAGGGCTGGACGCGGGCAGCAGGGCTGGCCAAGGGAGATTGGGAGGAGAAGTGGGGGAGAACTGGATGCCCAGGAGGGGGTCGGGGGAAGTGGGGCTGGCCAGAGGCGCAGCGGGGAGAGCAAGGGGGAAGAATGAATCGGCCTGTGGGGAGTGGGACTGACCCGGCCATATGTAGATCTCGGGGCACTGCCCCCCCCCGCCAAAGCACAAGTTAGTCTGTCTTGGGGATTCTATTGTTGCGTGCGCACGCACACATGCACACCCCCTCGAATAGTTGCGAACTATCTGGCTGGTAGACACACTCATGCAGCCTGAGCACATTTACCAGCCAGGCAGTTCGAAACTACAAACTGATACATCTAGTAATAATACAACTTCCCTACTGAGAAAATACCAGACATGTTATATGACTGGTATTTTCTCAGTTTGTTTTTCATGTGTTTATATTTTTGGGCTGCAAAAAGCAGAACTGAAAAAAAAGGGTTCCAATTAAAGTAAAAAGTTTGGGAAACCCTGGTCTAACCAGCTTTCTGTCTGTCTTACAGCCCATTTATCCAATCCATATTCCTTAACTTGCTGGCAAGAATATTGTGGGTGACCATATCAAAAGCTTTGCTAAAGCTGGCACTGGGAGATTTGGGAGGACCAGAAACAACTTATTTGAATATTCATCATTTGATTAATGAATATGCAAATGAAAATTACTGGTCCTCCGAAAGTTTGTGAATGGATTTACTGGTCCCCGTGGCAAAAAGTTTGGGAACCCTTGTTTTAGGGGGGTTAATTCCAGAGGTCTCATGGGTGTTCTGATGGGGCATGAAAATGAATGTCAAACCTCTGACATTTTTCACAAGCAGGCTGCAGAGCCAGCTGGACACAGCTGCGCCTCCCCATGCAGCAGTCTCTGGTGGGACAGATGGATGGGTGGCACTGAGCTGTGGCAGACATACACCATTCACATCCTGTGCTGCAGCTGCTCAGGGAGGCCACAGAAGCAGCACCACAGCTTAGGGCAGCTCTGCAGGCTTTGCATCACTCAGGCTACTTTGGCCCCCACAGCTTCTGAATATGGGGAGGCACACGCCCGTGTTGAGATGACTCTGGCCCGGGGCATTCAGAAAAGAGATGAGAGGCTGCACGGAGAGTCGGAGTGAGGCACATGTTACAAAGAGTTGCAGGCAGCCTGTGGAGAGCATGAGAATATCCCAGACCTCAGTCCAGGGTGAGGATCCTAAAGAAAACTCCCCAAGCCCTGCACCTTTTAGCTCAACACCTCTTCTGCAGCTGAGTCTCCTGCCTGGTCTCCAAGCCATGGAAGTCTCCTTCCAAATAGGCTCTCCTTGCCTCCTCCTCAGAGTCATGTGCAAAAGGGAATATTTCCAGCCCGAGTTTGGCCTCAGGGACAGTGACCCAGAGTGGGGAAGCAGCAATCAGTCTCCTGGCCGAAAATGTATCCTGCAGAGGGAGAGGGATTTGTGCATGATAGTACCCTCTATACAGCCCACCCCTGTCTGCTGCCAGGCCCATACGGAACCTCGGTTTTCCTAGTCATACAGCAAAGCCTCTTTAATTAGCTTGTATTTTCAAACAGCTTGGACCAGAGTGGTCAAGTTCCTAGGTGCAGAGAAGTTTGGGTGTATATGTGGAAGGGGGTTCAGTCAATATCACTCACATAAGCTGTCTCTTCCCATCATGCCACAAAAAATGTGGCTAAGGCACTGACGTCTATATTGTGGGAGACGACTGGAGGGTTTACCAAATATAAACTAACGCTCCCCCCACCAAATGACACTGCTGTCACCTGCCTCCCGACGGAGTGCCATGGTCGAGGCGATGGAAGCTCTGCACTGAGCTGCAAGTGCTATAGCACCGAACTGGAAACCAGTCCCTGCTCCATGTCTGCATGCCTTCAGGCCCCAGAAGATGAGCTGCGGTGTGGTCCATGAAACTCCTAGACCCCAATGCGCTGTTCCTCCATAGATCTCACTCCAGTCCAATCACGGCTTCCCCATCCCGCCTGCACGGCTCCAGGCTGTTGTAGGAGGGCAGTGTGGTTACCACAGCTTCGACAGTGAAGCGGTGTGGAGCACTGGGGTCAGCAGGCTCAGACTGGAAGGCGGTGTTGTCATGAGCACCTGGGGGAGGCACACTGGGGGCTGGGACCTGCCGAGAGCGGAACCTCTTGAAGGACAGGATAATGGTGATGGCAATGAAATCCAAAATCAGCTCAGCAAGCTCCACCACAGAAAGAACAGAGGAGCCAAACCAGAGACTCCACTGATTCCCCAGCTGGGAGAGCAACGTCACCACCTGCAACGGAGAGATGGAGGCAGTGAAATTGAATCTGCGAGAGGACGCTCGTATTCCCCCTGGCTGCAAGGAGCACTCACAGCTGGGGCTTCATTCTCATCCCATCCTGCCACGGGAGGAGAAATGCAGGAGGGAGGGATGCTGCTGGCAGGCAGAGGGGCATGGTGAGGGAAGGCCAGTGGGGAGGATGAGGTGTATACCGTGAAGGCAGGAGACTCCCCATTGGTTTTATACTTCCATTCTTCAAAAAATATGTTCACTTTGGCCACTCCATTCCTGTTAATAAAAGACAGACATGAGTGACTCTAATCCCACACTCCCTGTATTGCAATGTACACACCTCATCCTGCACTCTTACCAAACCTTTCACCCTCTAAACCCGCAGTTCCCCCACCTGGCCCTAGGCCTTGGATTGTCCCCTCTCCCAATTTCTATCCATCGTTGGTTCATCTGGAACAAGGACCCAACCCATTGACCCAGTAACAGATCACTGGGCCCCCTCTCAGATTCTGAGTGCCAATTCTGGAGCTCTCACCTCTTGGATGTGATGTTGTACTTGTTCTGTTGGGACAGAATGTGGAAAACCCAATTCTGAAAGGAGAACAGAAAACACATCATAGATATACACTGCTCTGTGGTCCCAGCCTCCCCTTCTTGGGGGTTAATATCTGGAGGGTTCGGTCTGCATCCTGGGGCTGGCGGGATTACCACGGAAAATCATATCCTTACCTCGGAGACAGCAGAAGGCCAGTGGGAGTATCCAGCTGACAGCTGATACTTGGTAACCCTAGAGAAAAAAAGAGATATTCTTAACCAGAAGGGCTGTGGGGTCCACAAGGCCCAGTCTCAGCATGGCAATCTCAACAGTGGGAACTTTCTCCATATCTAGCACATCTGCCCTATTCCTTACAAGGTTGCCTCCTGAAAGGAGCCAGACTGCATGTTGAGGAGCCTACCCCACAGCCAACATTTTTGCCCACTACCAGTGCTGCTTCTTGCAAGGAGAGACAAGATGGAAGCATCTAGTGGGATGTTTAGTTGCTCAAACACCATTTGCCCCAGAGAATTGAAAATACTTTGGGAAATCAAATTCTCAGCTACTTCGTCAGCTGTAGGAATGAGACACTCACAGGCACATGGGACTGGAAGTGAGCTACTGGATTATCAAGTCCAGTTCCCTGATATCTCAGACAACTATGCCATATGCTGGTGTTCATAAAACCCTACTTTTTATCCCGCTGAGACTTACTCGCAAGGTTTCCGACATTTGCTGAAACAGCCCAGAATGTTGGATTTGAATTCGACCTGGAGTTTGTAGTAACAGTAACCTAAACAGGGGAGAGAGATCCAAAGTAAGCTCAACCTGTCTGTGCAGAGAAGATACTCTCTGGGGCACGTGCATGGGTACTGCAGCATCCTCACAGGGCCTGAGAGCTCCAGAGAAGGAATTCTCAGGAGGATTTAAACAGGCGGCTTGGGGAGCTGACAGCCAGGGATGATGTGGAGGGTTTCAATGTTAGGGGGTTGGAATGGGTAGGCTCGGGAGGGCTTGGGGGAACACTACACAATTCCCTCTGCCCCATCGGTGCTTACCCCATGCTATATGCTTAGTGTAGTCACAGTACTCCGCTCCAGGGGGCAAGGGGTAGAAGTAATATGCACAGCCACAGCGCTTCACCATATGGATCTGAAAACAGGAACGAATGCAGACCTGGGAGACATGAGAGGAGAGATCTCAGTAAGGGCAACCTCACATCTCAGCGTAACAAGGTCTAGAAAACGCAGCGGGGAGCCACTCATGGTTGTGATTGTCTCCCAAGGAGGGCAGGGACCAGACTGCGTTCGTACCAGTGGTGATGGATTACCTGCTCAGTGTAACGGGATGAGTACAGGTTCTGCACTGGCACATCACTGCCATCTTCAGTGCAGTCACTATAGCTGCCCCCAAGAAGCATCGTGGTCTCCTGGTAACAAATGTCAGCTTGTCAGTCATCGAGTCATAGAGTTTAAGGGCAGACAGGACCACGAGATCACCATCTGCCTGTGTAGCACAGGCCACTGAACACCGTCCAGCACCCACACACTGAACCCAACAACTGATGTTGCACTAGGGCAGGGGTGGCCAACCCATTACAGGCAAAGAGCCAAAATAGTGGTGGCCATAGTGCAAAAAGCTGAGGGGAAAAAAGTTGTCAAGCAATAAAAAAAAAAAAAAGGATACCATTTCCTTCACCACACCAGACAGCTCACCAACACCCAGTGAGCACAGGAAATTGGGGGCCCTTTGTAGGGGCGCAGGGGTGGCTTTACAAGCTGTGGGGGATGCTTCGCAAGCTGCATTTTCTGCGGTGAAGAGCCACATGCAGCTCGTGAGCCATGGTTTGACCACCCCTGCACTAGGGCATGACAGCGCTCAGGAGACTGAGCTATGATGTGCCTCAGGAACAGATAGCAGGGACCCAAGTGCACCAATGTCTGAGGCCCCTCCAATGGCAGAGGAACCGATGAACTGACACACACTCATCCCCTAGTGCCTCCCCCATTTCCACTTGCCATCCTCTAGCTCCATCCACCCCAGTTAGTAACAGATACAACGGTAACAACCTCCCACTCCTCACTCCTGTCTCAAGCCACCCACTCCTCCCTGCTATCGCCCTCTATCAGCCCATCCCTGATTAGTAAGGGCTCCCAAGGGACTGTCCTTCCCCTCACTCCCACCCAGTGTTGCTCTTCCCCACAGTTAATTTTTCTGCTCCCCACATCCTAGTTCCATGGCAACCCTTCTGTGCCCATCCTTGCCACTCTTGTGCTGACACACATCTTCCCCCAAGTGCACAATGAAGCCCATGCCACCTCTCCCCACAAGCCATTCCCCCTCACCTTTCTCATGCTGATGGAGGTCTCTATACCCGGGCGCACATTGAAGCCCCCATCGTCCATGAAAGCTGGTTCATTCTGCTCATGAACCATCACCCGGGCTCCCGTCACAGTGGACAGCAGTGGGATATAGTCGTTCTGCTCTGTGCGCACTAGCAGGGAGAGGCCTGTAGAGGTTTCAGAGTAGGAGGGGATCAGGGCCAGTCACTGGGGCGAGGGAGACAGAGATAACAACTGAGCTAGTGGAAGGGAAGAGGAGACTCAGGGTACGTCTACACTACAGCGCAAGTTCGAACTAACTTCGTTCGAATTAGTTAATTCGAACTAAGCTAATTCGAACTAACGCGTCTAGAACTAAAAACTAGTTCGAATTAGCGTTTTGCTAATTCGAACTAGCAAGTCCACATTGAGTGGACCCTGAACAGGGCTTAAGGATGGCCGGAAGCAGTGCCGGCAGGGCATAAGAGGAGGACTTAGAGCATGGAGATGCTGTCTCAGGCTAGCCGAGGGCTGCGCTTAAAGGGTCCCGACCCCCACCCCGGACACACAGTTCTAAGGGGTGCCCCGCTTGCAAAGAAGTTCTGGCTTGGAGTGCCCTGAGTGCCCACACTGGGCACATCACACCACTCGGCCATCAGCCCGGCTGCACTTGCCGCAGGCTGCCATCTGGGGAGAGGGAGTAATTGGGGGGCTGCAGGAGAGCTTCCACCCCCAGAAGCCCGCAGAGCCAGCCCAGTCCTCCCCATCGGGGGCTCATACCCCATTCCTCCCTCACCTCCTTCCACTTACCCTTCCCTAGCCCCCCTTCTTATTGATGTACAAAATAAAGATAACGTTTCTTCCAACATTGACTCTGTCTTTATTGAAAAAAACTGGGGGAGACTGGGAAAAGGAGGTGGGAGAGGGGAAGAGAAAGGCTGGGAGAGGGGAGGGCAACTAACATGATCAGGGGTTGGGAACAGGTCCCAGATGAAGAGAGGCTACAGAGACTGGGACTGTTCAGCTTAGAAAAGAGGAGACGGAGGGGGGACAGGATAGAGGTCTCTAAAAGCAGGGGTTGGGTGGAGAGGGTGCATTCAGAAAAGTTCTTCCTGAGTTCCCATAAAGAAGGACTAGAGGACACCAAAGGAAAGGAATGGGTAGCAGGCTTGAAACTAGTAAGAGAAAGTTGTTCTTCTTCCCAAAGCAAATAGTTAACCTGTGGAACTCCTTGCTGCAGGAGGCTGTGAAGGCTACAACTAGAACAGAGTTTAAAGGGAAGTGAGATCAAGTCATGGAGGTTGGGTCCATGGAGTCCTATTAGCCAGAGGGTAGGAGTGGTGTCCCTGCCCAAAGTTTGTGGAAGGCTGGAGAGGGATGGCACGAGACAAATGGCTTGATCACTGTCTTCGGTCCATCCCCTCCAGGGTCCCTAGGGTTGGCCGCTGTTGGCAGACAGGCTACTGGGCTAGATGGACCTTTGGTCTGACCCAGTACGGCCATTGTAAGCTCAGGGCTCAGGGTCGGGGGTCTCAGTGGACCCCCTTGATTTTCATGCACACCTGCTCCTGGGTGGCCAGGCTGGCAGCTATCCTGCCCTAGACGGCCACTTTCCTGTGCCTAGTGCAGAGATCGTGGACG